CGTACGAGGTCGGGCTGCAGGCCCTGGCGGTATGCCAGATAGTTAAGTGATTGACTCCGTACGAAGGCAACAGGGCTCTCGCCTACTGTGACTGACGTTAGCAGGCGTTAGTGGGCCCTCTAGCCCTATGTGGGCTGGGCCAAGCTAACCCACATCGGGAAACTTTGATGAAAAAATTTCAGTGCTATCTTTTTCTAAAAATATTTCTACTAACATGAATTGTTTCATTTGTCTTATAATTTTATCGCGACAAACTTAAACTTTGGAAGCATTGAGTAGTAGATCATATAGATTAGGTTGTTTCCTTAGTTTTGACAATTTCTTAGGAGAAAGAAGAAATGAGCCACGGACCCAAAAAGTCGCTATGCATAAAGAAGACTAAGTTCATGGGTTAGGTAAAAACCTCCAACCCATTAGTTTCAATTACTAGCTCATATTGACCAATTTGGTTTGATTGGTTCTACTTAATTATGCAAATTTTAAAATAAAAAAGAGAAAACAAGGAAAATTTGCACAAAAAAGTAATTTTGTTCATTAGACAATAACCATAAAATAGGGAAAGATAACATAAAAAAATATATTAATTTTGTTAGTTAACGGAAAAACCAATAAAATGAGATTTGTTTGAATAAAATAGAAAATAGAAAATAGAAAATTAGAAACTGAATTTTTTTAATTAACTAATAAAATAAGAGAACTTTTCACTAAAATAACAGAAGTTTTTTGACATATAAACTATATATATATATTAAGAAAATATTAAAAATCAAAAGTAACAAAAAGGTAAAAATAAGGGAAGATTAAAAGTCAGGAACTTACTTTATACTTATTAATTAAAATAAATTAAGTAACTTAGTTTTATTAACTCAGTCTAAAATAAATAAAATTAATTTTGGAAAAAATTTAAATTTAAATAGTTAATAAAAAATTAACATAATAAAAGCAATAAAAAGGTTGTTAACAGAATTAAAAATCAGGAACTTACTTTATACTTATTAATTGAAATAAATTAAATAACTTATTTTTATTAACTTACTCTAAAATAAGTAAAATTAATATTGGAAAAAATTAAATTTTAAATAGTTAATAAAAAATTAACATAATAAAAGTAATAAAAATGTTGTTAACAGACTTAACAAAAAATATTTTATTAGTTAAAATTTATACAAAATAATGTAAACATAATTTAATTAATATCAATAAAAAAAGTTTATTTTGTAATTTAATTTAATAGAAAAAGTAAATTTCCCTCTTCCTGATAATCCCTTATAGATTTTTGTTTTGTTAATTTCGTAGATAATACATAACCTAAGATGGATAGGGTTCAGCTTGGCTCAATTACAAATGTCATAAGACTCCTGTCTAAATGTCACTTAATAAAGCATGTTCATCGCATTTAACAGTACTAAAATTAATAAAATGTAATTAAATATTAAAAGTCAAGATAAATAACAAAAAATTAACAGAAATTTATTTAACAATGCATAACCCAAAAATAGTTTGGATTGGACTTAGTACCACTTGATCCAATTGATATTGTCATAAGGCTCCTTTCGCAATTTCTTTTTACAACACGCATGCAATGCATGAGGCATGACTAGTTGCAAATATAGCTGAACTTGAGGATCCCAAATCAAATAAGCTGATAAATGTGTGGATGGTCAAAGGGATTGCACAAGTGTTGACCTCCTAATTTGGTTCTGATTATGCAGATACAAAAAAAAAAATCATTACATTCTGTTGGGAATTCGAATGGATTGGATCTGCTCCCCACAAAGCCCTCTCCACACCACTCGCATATAACATTGCAGCCACTCCAACCCCATGAATGACAACATACAAGTATAGAAGATGTTCCTGATGTATGATTGTAATGTGTTGTGCTCCTTACAACACAATGTAGCTTTATATTAAGAACATGCAAGTACAAAATATGTTCCCGATGTGTGACTACAATGTGTTGTGCTCCCCGCACCAACCCCACGATACATTGCAGCCACACATCAGGAACATCTTATGTACTTGTATGTTGTCATTCATGGGGAAATGTCATTCATGTGTTAATGTTGAGAAGTGCTCCATGGGGAGCAAATCTGAATTCATTTACTCCCAACCAAGGTTCAAAGTATCGATACATATCGTATTGGGAGTTTCCTGATATGCCCCTATAGAGGGTGTATCAGGGTTTTGACCGGTTAAGGGGGTGGACGGACCTTAAACCAGCCCCTCTGAACCAAATTTGAATAAAAACTAAAAAGTTAAAAAGAAAAGCTATTAATACTGCCCGATACAATTCTACTGGTGTATCGAGTGTATTGATATTTAGAACCTTGCTCCCAACAAAATGCCATTCCACATTCTCTATGTCTACACATTTCAGACATAATGGGTCCCAGTCTTATGGTGAGATGTGGTGATACATGATCACCAATAGAAAAACATATTTGAGCATGTGTATGCATTCCTTAATGATTTTCTACAAGCAAAAATTCTGCCTCACATAGCATCAAGCCGCATATTGGGAATATCTCCCATACATATATTTTAAATTCATGGGGAGATGTTCCACATGCTTCTAGAGTGTGTGCAGAGTTTTTGTTTGTCTGGAATTCCATCACTTCCTTGACTAGGTCTATAATTACTTGTAGTTAAGAATGGTAATTTCAATCCTACCTGATGTTTTTTTTTCTTGAAAAACAGATTTTAGGGCAAAGATAGGTTTTGGGACTTTACAACCCATACGCATACAAGTAGGGGATGGTATTTGATTAAACTTAACCCTCCTCGACCCGCTTATTGTTGGAAGGCATATGAACTTATGTATTAGGTGTTGAATTTAATAATATTTTGATCTTTTTGTGAAGGATAATTGGTGGTTTATGTATTTTTTACATGTTTTAATCACATCATTATAATTATAAATTTGATATTTGTTGGTCATTTTACATGTTTATTACTTATATATAACATGAAATAATAGGAAATTGGATGCAGGGTTCTGAACCCAACTTGCCCACTCTTAAACATGGGGAGAATAAGGTCGAGGGTTTTTGCATTTTTATGTTCCCACCATGGGTTTTGGGAGGGTAAAGATTGGGAAGTCTAAGGAGATGGGTAGAATCCCAAATTTACAAGACCATTTACCATCTCTAGCTACATTAATAATACCCTTATTATCCAAAATAAAATGGAAACAATATATCTTGATTCCTAAAAGCAAAAATTGTTGGAAGACTTTGGGAGTATGACATCTAGCCACACATCAAGAATATCTCCCTATGAATTTAATGTACATATATGAGGGGTGGACATGAATTGGGCTTTTCATGAGCTATTTAAGCTCGGTTCATGAAAAATTTGATTTGATTAGGTTTAAACTAAACTTCAAACAGAGCTTGAGCCTAATATATAAGCTCATTTACTTATTGATTTGAGCTTGAGCCCAATGAAACTTGGCTCATGAGGCTCGTGAACCTAATTAAGCTTTTATATGCATTTGATATAAATATTATATATAATAAATAATTTTTCTAATTCATAATTTTTTTTTGTATGTAATATATATATATATATTATATTTTATTTTTGTAGGAATCTTAACCCATAGTTGAGCTCGAATCAAGCCAGATCAAACATATAAACTTTTGAGTCGAACTAAATTCGAATTCAAAATCTTTAGCTCGAACTCGAACCTCATGATTTTTCTTGCGAGCCAAATTGGAATAGCCAAATATTGGGCTCAGATCTACTCGAATCCACCCGTTATATATCCCAATATTACGTTTCCTTGTAGGACAAACCCGAGACTCCAAGTAATTTTTAAATATACTAGTGTTTGGTAAAAAAGACAAAATATCACATCAATCTAGTGTTTGATTAAAACAGTGGCGTATCCAAAAGTCACTAGGGAGTCTCGTCATGATCCTATTTTTTGAAGGGTTCTTGATTTCTGATTTCTAGAAAGGAGCCCAGATCTTCTCCTCACATAGTGCTTCACACGTCAACCTCACAATATGTCTTGACCATACATCGAGAATATCTCCCGTATTTGTATTTATTATTTATGGGGAGAGATGTTCCCATATATGATAGGATCTGGTTGTGAGGTCAATGTGTAGATCTCAATTCTCTCAAAAAGTATTGTAAGTGTGACTATGGGTGGATTTAAGCCGAGCCGAGCCGAATATTATGAGGCTCGAGTTCGGCTCACCAAGGTAGTACAAGGCTCGAGCTCGAGCTTGAGCTTGGTTTGAGCTAGAATCTTAAGCTTAAGCTCGGCTCGATTTGAGAAAAAATGTTTTATAAAAATATTTTTTATTTGATATTTAAAAAAATTAAGAATTATAATATTTTATTACATATTATTTTCTATTATATATATATATATAATATTCAAGCTCGACTCGCGAATCTTACGAGCTGAGCTCTATTAGGCTTGAGCTCGGCTCATTTATTAATCGAACCTATAAATTGGACTCGAGCTCGATTGAAACCGAGCCAAGCCAAGCTTTTCACAAGTCATGCTCGAATAGCTCGTGAAGAGCTCGACTCGTGGCCACCCCTAAGTGTAGAGTTTAGATTAATGCCCCACAACGGGGCGCCTCACAACGGGGCGCCCCACAATGCATCCCCACCTTGTATTGGTAACATTTCCTAATGATGACATGTTCGATTCTAGTATTATCATCGGGATATGTTCCCAATACACGGCGGAGATGCGCTATGGAACATTGTGGGGCGCAGATGTTAACTCCTAAGTAACCAAAACATGTTCCAACACCATCTCAACAAGATTTGACGCCACAAATCTCACATTCTCACCTCGAGATTGGGAGATCATGTTGGAACATATATGTTGGCAGCTAATCCTGACTGTGACCGAAAATACGAGACACGGATGAAAATGGTCTACCACGTGCAAGTCTGGTGTTCTGTGTCCCTCAGATCGCACTATAAATTCCAAAACCCTTTAAAACCCAAAACCCACCTCAAGACTCAAGACTAGACTCCAAACAGAGCTATACGCTCTGCTTCACGTATCTCCGGAAGCAAGCATAGGATGAACAAATCAGAAAATCTAATCGTCAATAGACACAAATCTATCACTCCGATAAATACCAATCTCCGCAGGTAATGCATTTCTTTTTTTTTTCTTCTTTTCTAGTTTGTTGGTTTCCTAGAAGCTCAAAGTTGTTTTTGATCGTCGACAGATACGAAACCTGTTTTGCACTCTAAGTGTGGGTACACAGCAAGATTATTTACTCTACTTTGTTTGAATTTTTTTTTTCTAACTGTAATTCATCAGAAAAAGAAAATTTTGCAATCTGTAATTTATGGCATTCGTCATTGTCAAATTGAATTGTCAAGTTTCCAGTTACTAGGTGACCTATATGATAATATGACTAGTTATTTACTAACCGTTATTAGCAATTTAAATACATTCACTCTTACTGATTCAAATTATGAAATGTAGATGCTGATTTCTATTTATCTTAGTGCCAACAAGAAAGAGGATTGTATTATCATGGATAACAACTGAACTAGCTCAGAGAGATGTATGACGGGTTGTCCTTGCATCTTCACGCTTTTAGAGATTGATGATGGGTTTGATCTCTTTCTTGCTCGTAAATCTACTTAATGCTGTCCATCTTTAGATGCTTAGAATGTGTTTCTCCAAGTCCCAATTTTCTCTCCATGCCTCCGAATTAGTTAGTTGCTTGATGGCCTCGGTTGTTTATCCTGAAGTTACGTTGGGACTGATTAACAAACATGCGACATTATATGTTTCTGGAAGAAGGGAAGGTGTACATTTTCTATTGCAATCCATGAAATTTTGGAATACATAATCAATCTTCCTTGCAAGAAAACCTTGCCCCAGCTATTGGGTCGAGAAAATCATATTTTGCACATGCCACACAGTGCATAATTGCTAACCATGGGACATAAGAATTGAGAAGATACAAGGGATATAAGTAGGTAAGGAAAACATTTTCTAAAAAAAAGTAGGTAAGGAAAAAGGAGGACATTCCAAAACTAAGGAGATCCCCCAATGTATCAAAAGATTAGAAAAATGTCAGATGTCCTACAACATGAATCCTTTTTTAGTTCCCTTTTACCCAGGGATTTGGAAAAGTTCTTTGCTGAAAGTAAATTCTAAGATTGAAACGTTCAACCTGGAAACAGAAGCCCCATACTCTCTTGAAACCACTGCCAGCTTTTTGAGTCCCCAACAACATGTGTATGTGCAAGCACTCTCATCCACCTAATGATACTGCTCTTAGTCAATGCCACTCATTCATTATGTCCAAATCGAGCTGTTGGGTTTGTGTTACTGATTGTGGAAAGGCTAGAGCTTAAGTTATAGATGAGCTCCTCTCACCCAATGGACTTAAATACATATGGATGATGGAACTTTTCAGAGGTACTAAAACTATCAAGTTGGCAATGCTTATGCAAGAAACGGCCACAACATTTTGCTTAACCCTATATATAACAATAGAACACTAATCTCTTTGCTTCTTTTTTTTTTTTTTTTTTCTTTCCTTTGTAAATTCTGTCATATGTAAAAGCCTTAAAAGCTTGTTTGCAACTGATGAGACCCCACCTGTGTTGCCATTCACTGATTCAAATTGATCCTCGACCTTTCCTTTTTCAAGAGTCAAGGCATGGTTGTCATTTCATACCAGTCCAATTATGCTTTCTTTTGTTTTTTGTTTTTTTTTGTTTTTATTTTTTGACCATGTTAAATTTCAGTTATAAATGCTTGAGGTTGTGCTTTAATAGATCTTTTTCACTGGAAACTAAAGGAAAAGAATTTATGGTTGTGATAGCAGTTTGATCAATGCAATTTCACCCTTCTGTTTCAGCATTTCCTTATATGCATCTAGTTTTCTTCTTTTGTATTGTTTCTTGGTGTAAATTCTTTTCCTGCCGTTAGGCTGTTCATATGTAGACTGATACTCTTGTTGAGATTAACATTTCTCCTTTTACTTTCCTAAATATGAACTTAGTTTTTGTCATCATGCTTATTTCAGATGGACATTGCTACAGAAAACTTTCAACAGGTATGAAATCTTAACAGATGAGCATAAAAGGCAAATACATGATATTTGTGGTATGTAAGGATTGACATCAAGTTTGGAGCTTGGCCCAAAGCTCAATAAAGCAGAAGAGATTAGGGAAGAACTTGAAAGGCTACGGCATTGAAAGGATCAAGAAAACGTTTCAGCCTATGTTAGACCTGTTCATGGGCCGGGCCGGGCTTTGCCTCTTAATCAACAGAAAATGTGCAGGCCCGACCATCGGGCCTAGATCTTGAGCCCGAGCCCGGCCCTTATATAAAGCCCAAAGACCAAGCCTGAGCCCGAAGCCCAACCTATACACAAACTGTCTTATTTTTAGTGTACTTTTATAAATTAATATTATATTAATTTAGTAATAATTTAATAAATTAATAAACTAATTTATATTTCCTAATAGTAAATTAATACTTATTAATAATTTAAGAAATAAATACATATTATATATATTTATTATTTATAACAAAAATGCTTTTTTATTATATGTAATAGCATCGGGTCGGGCTCGGGCTTATTTGAGAAAGCCTGAGCCCGAGCCCGCGGGCTTGAAATTTTGTCGAAGCCTGAAAAATAATGGGCTGGGCCGGGCCATCGGGCTATCCAGCCCATGAACATGTCTACTTCCAGTTCAATTATTGAAAATTTGTCTTTAACACAGTTCCTAAATGACAGTGACATCATGAAAGGGTACGTCTCCTTATCTTTTAGGTCATTTTGTTTCATGTTCTGACTTAGAACATCATTTCCATCATGATATGTCTTCAAACTGTTTCTGAAGAGGCTTGATAGGTAGTTGGTAGGGGTGGATTTGAGCCTAGCCGAGCCGAATACTTGGCTATTCGAGCTCGGCTCGAGCTAGAGACTTGAGCTCGAGCTTGGCTCGGTTCAAAGCTCGCAAGTTTGAGCTCGACTACAAGCCAAGTTTTTTCTAAAAAATAAAAATTATATAGATAAAAATATTTTTTATTTTACATGCAACAAAATAAGAATTATAAAAATTATTTGCTATTATACATAGAAAATAAAAATATTATTATATATAATAAAAATTGTTTATTTTATATATAATTATATGCATATGTATATGTATGTATGTATATAATAAAAAAAATATTTATTTATTATACTAGGCTCGCGAGCCTTACAAGACGAGCTTCATTGGGCTTGAGATCGGCTCGATTAGAAAACGAGTCTATGTATCAGGCTCGAGGTTGGCTCGAATAGCTCGTGAGAAGCTCGGCTCGTGGCCACCCCTAGTAGGTGGTTATATACTATTTTTGTTGCTCTTTCATCTTCTACTTTGTGGATGTTTATTTTGGTTGTCTTATTTCTAGTTTCCTTTGGACTAACATAACCTTCTAAAATGCCCTAGACATAATAATAGTCAAAAGTGGTGGAATGTAGGCAATTAGAAGGATGCTATTCATTTTCATTAGTCATATTAATGTGCCCTTAATTAGTTACTTTTTAATTGATCAGTAATAGTGACTTTCATTAATTAGTTTTTGTAAATAGAACATATAGAAAAAAGGTGTTTTGAAGCTTTTACAGCCTTACAAGTCTCCTCATTAACTTTTCCAAGAGCAATATCATGAGCATCAGTCTTCCAATAGAATCTATATAAGAATATAAAGAAGTTCTGGTCTGCAAAAGGGAGGAGTGACCAATTATGTGCTTTGGAACACTTTAAGGAGGAAATTTGAGGAATTTATCATTTTGGGATCTTGTAATGAGAATTGTGAGAAGAGACTAGCTACTTGGAAGTGGAATTATACTTCCAATGGTGGGCACCTATACTCATCAAGACTACCTTGGCAAATTTCTCGACTTATCATTTATTAGATTTTCATGTTATTTCAAAGGCGAGGGATTACATTGAGCAACTTCAGAGGAATTTCATGTGGGAAGGAGGTGGAGAAAAGTGATAACCTTGTTAATTGAAAACTGGTTTGTAAACCAAAGGGGAAGGAATTTTTGGTGTAGATTGCATCTCAGACAGGAATACAACATTGCTTAAAAAAGGCTTTGGAAATTTTCTCAATAACATGATGTCTTTTGGCCTTGGTTATCTAGAGCAAGTATGAACTGATACTGAACACTAAGGTGGGATGATAACTTTTGTCTAGATAGGATCTCTTCAAACACGTGGAAAGGTAATATTAAATCATATACCTAATACCTCCTTCATTCTACACATTGGATACAGCCCTGGCAATTGTAATTATATCAAATTCTAGACTTGGTGAGGTAATGCCCCTTCCTTAGAGAATCTTTTGATCGTCTCATAATAACTAGTTGATGCAAGACCTTTGTGATTTAACACTTATCTTGCAAGTAAATTCAGGTTGTAGTTGTGTAGATCAGAAACAAATATCATAGAAGAAGAAAGAAGAAGAGAAGAGGTGGATGTAAGATGATAACCCTAGGCAATCACATTCACACCTAAGGATGAGGGCGAAACTTGGCAGTCACACTGAATTCTGTAAAGAAGCTTTCTTTGTTCATCATCCAAAACTGTTATCCAAAGGATCCTTACAAGCTTAATAATAAAGAAGCTTTTAAAAGATGACACTTGCCTCACAACTTAGCTTGCCCCACAAGTTACTTACAAAAGAAGCTAAAACCTGTCCCAAACAATTACAAGCATAAATCCAAACAAAGGAAAGTTACTAGGTTGACACCTGGCCCCAAATATAACCCTCAAGCATGTAAAATTGCAAAAATACCCTTGCCATCTAGAAGTGTTGGAAAGCCAAATAAGCACTGTCTAGCAGTAATCTTGACCACGTGAATCTTAAAGTGGATTGAAGATTCTAGGATCTTTGATCCCACAACTAATCTAGCTTCCATGTGGGCACCATCATCATAAGCGTAGGAGCAGCTTTCATTCTCTTTTTTTTTGAAGACAAATAAAGAAGAAAATTTATTGAAAAAGAAAGCAAGGTACATTAACTAGGTGACAAAGAGTCACCAACCAACACACAAACTGTATTCCAACAACAAAAACAACAGAAACAAATCCAACTACCAATATTAAACATTCAAAGTACACCAAAATTTAGCTGCAAAATTTTCTTTGCGAAGGCCTTCAAATTCTGGAAGAAATATCACCCGACCAATAATCCTTGAACTGATCAATACCCCTAGCTCTTCATTGCTTTTCATTTTGTCCTTGAAGATTCTCTTGTTTCTTTCCTTCCACACCTCCCAACACACAACAAAGGGAATACAGCTCCATATAATTTTTTCTTTGGTGTTCCCATGCACTATTGACTATCTTCCAACAGTGATTTAAAAGGCAAGCCTAGGCGCATTTTAGGGTATGTGCCTTGCCTAGGTCCTAAACCCTTTTCATAAGGCGCATGCCTGATGTGCCTCACCTCAAGGGGCATGGTACAAAGGTGGCTCATAGAATCAGGAATGCAATATGTTTTACATCATATTAGTTACTTGAAGTTATGCAATTGAGGAAAAAAAAGAGGTTGTGAGTTTTACATACTTGAAAATGCTTTATATGTTTGATTTTATTTTTAAATTTTCATTTGAATACACTTTAGATAATAGTTTTTTTTAAACATTTATTTTAAAATTTAAATTTATATTTTTTATTAATATTATGCTTAATATTTTTTTGCATCTTTTTGAATTTTTTGGAATTTTTTTTTTATTTTTCTGACATTTTTTTTTAATTTTTTAGCATTTTTTTAATTTTTGCGCCTTGCTTCAAAAAGGCGTGCGCCTCACATTGTGCCTTGCGTATTAGGCACAAATTGCTCCTTGCACTTTTTTTATGTCTTGCACTTCTAAAACATTGGCTTCCAAAGATCTCCTCATATTCATTGGGCACCCACCTGGCCATATTGAAGAGCTTAAAAAAGTAGGCCCAAATACCTCTTACATAGCCACACTAAACTAGCAAATGCATGATGTTCTCCTCATTACCCTTGCACAACACCCATTTACTAGGGAACTGAAGGCCCCTTTTCTTCAAATTGTCTTGAGTAAGGATACAAACCATTGATATCGGCCAATCAAATGCCTCCACTCTTGGAGGAGCAGGTTCCCTCCAAATACCTTTGATTGAATTAGGCACCATCTTTGGTTGTCCTTTGACACGATTTGAGTTTATTCCTAGGATTACTCATTGGGAAGGTGTTATTAGGGTATTGTGTTATTTAGAATGATCTCTTGTCGAGGGTTGTTATATAAGAAAGGGGAGATTTTTCACTAGAAGGGTATTTAGATGCAGATTGGGCAGGGTCTTCAACAGACAAGAAGTCTACCACAGGTTACTACACCTTCCTTGGAGGGAATCTTCTTACTTGGAAGAGTAAAAAGCAAAGTGTGGTTGCTGGAAGCAGTGTTGAAGCTGAGTACATCGCAATGGCACATACAATGTTTGAGTTGATTTTGCGTAAGCATGTCCATTAGGAAATTGTAGTACCTATTTTCAAGGACCATAAAGTTGTTTTTTGACAACCAAGTCGTTGCCCACACATTGCCTTTAATCAAGGGGTACAAGTCGGGTACCCGATTCGAAGAGTTTATACAATTATACTACATTAGGCCTGAGATTTTGGGCCAGGCCCATTGAAATTTTAATAATCCCCCAACTCGAGCCCACCCCAAGTTGCACCCCTCTAATCCAGTCTTTCATGAGAGAACCTAACATATAGAGGTGGGCTGTCATTTTGTGAGAGAGAAGGTTGCAAGTGGTGATGTTTTTACACCTTATGTAAGATTAGAAGATCAACTAACTGATCTCTTCACCAAGACCCTAAGCTGCATGAGAATGGATTACATTTGTAACAAGTTGGAGCTATATGACATTTATGCTCCAGCTTGAGGGGAATTGTTGGTCTGTTAGAAATATAGGTGGCAGATGTCTCTGTCTTTATTTTACATAACCAGGGGTATCTTTGTAATTTCCATAGTATTATAATATAAATAAAACTTTCTGTTATTGATAAAAAATAATATAAATAATACTTGGTAATAGTTAGGAGGTCGATTTTGAGACTCTCCTAACGTTCTCTACTCTTTCTCTGTCTTCTTTTCCCTTTGTCTCCATGATCTTCTTCCTTTGCTGCCGGGTTTCTATTTTATTCCATTTATTTTATCCTTGAAATCTAAAGTCGATACCATGATATTTTCAATCTGGTACTCCTTTATTTCCTTTGCTATGTTAGGTAATTCACTTGCTTTCCATGTCTTTGCCTCTCCAAGTGGGTTGCTGACCAGCATGTCCTTCAAATTTTGTGCTTTGTTCTACATAAAGTCATTATTCTTAATGGATCCTTGTTCTTCTCTCTGTCTCTGGGAAGGATGAAGTTAATCCACGTGATGATAACTCTCGTGATTCTATTCTTCATGTTCCACAATTGACTATCAATCTTTTATCTGTTAATAGGTTGACTAAAAGTTTGAATTGTTTTATTATCTTTTCTCTAATTGATGTGTTTTTTCATGATTTCGCTACAAGGAGGATGATCGGCAATAGTTGTAATACAAATGGAGTTAATCTTTTGGATAGTCCATCTATGAAATTATGATTTGGCGTGTTCAGTTAGTCCACTTGTCATTTGGGTCTTTGAAATTTCCTTTTAGTCAATTGTTTAAGTTTGTTGCTTATTCCATTTTACAGTGTGAAGTTTGCTAGTTGGCTAGACATTGTAGAGTATCTTATTTTCCTGGTAATAAAAATTGTTCTTTTCCTTTTCACATTATTCATTTTGATGTTTGGTGACCATATTCTATTTGTTCCTTGTGTGGCATTTGTTATGTCATTTTGCTTCTAGACGGTTATTCATGTTACACATGGTTGTATATGATGTAGACTAGAGATGTGTTCAAAGCATTAATAGAAATTTATATAATCTAGTGGAAAGCTGATTTAATTGTAGGATTAAATTTTTTTGGTCATACAATACAAAAGAATACTTTTCAAAATACCTTAAATCTTGTTTGAATGAAAAATAGGGGTTATTCATTAGAGTTTGTATATATACACACTTCAACAAAATACAGTGGCAAAAATAAAAAATCACCTTGTTTTTGAGGTGGATGCTTAGTAGTGGTGGTCATAACCCTATTTGGTTTGAGGGGATTCAGTCCACATGACCACTTAATTAATAGAATGCTAGAGCCATAATCCAATTTGTATTTACTCTATATAAGTTTTTGGTTGTGATTCTTTTATCCATGACTTGAATCTTAACAAGTCTAGACTGGATGCTAGAGCCATTTAGGGAGTTCCCTTTGGTTATTTTGACACTTAGAATATCGTTTTTATAACCTAATCTATGGAAAATGGTTTGTTTTAAGAAATGCCATCTTTTCTTTTTTGAGTCCACCCCTTTCTTTCTTTCTTGTGCCTCTCTTTAGGGGGAAAACATTAGTGAAGAGAGTTTGTTTGCCTTTTCTCTTCCTATTCCTGCACTTAAAATGACCTTTCCTAGGCTTTTGTTTTCCCCCTTTAGTGAAAGGAGCAATTTAGGGAGTTCCCTTGGTTATTTTGACACTTAGGATATCGTTTTTATAACCTAAGCTATGGAAAATGGTTTGTTTTAAGAAATGCCATCTTTTTTTTAGTCCACTCCTTTCTTTCCTTCTTGTGCCTCTCTTTAGGGGGAAAACATTAGTGAAGAGAGTTTGTTTGCCTTTTCTCTTCCTATTCCTGTGCTTAAAATGACCTTTCCTAGGCTGTTGTTCTTTCTATTGTGCCACTAAAGTTACAGGTTTATACTAATAGGAAGGTGTCTCCTGCTATGGATCCGTCTGCTCAATTTGATACTTAGGTTCCTTATCTTGATGGTACTTCAGTTTCTATTCTAGAGAATCCTCCTTTTTACACTTCTGCCCTTCTTCCTCCTAATATCGTTTACCTATTGCTGTTTGCAAGGGTAAGAGAATGGGTTGACTCACCCAAGTTGCTTTGCTCAATTGATTACTTATCTTTCTTCTTCTCCTTCTTTCCTGATCAGGAGTTCATCCTCATCCCTTAAGTTTTGGCATAAAAACTTTATTTTTGGTGTAATATGGTCAATGAAGATACAATGAGCAAGGATCAAGGATGTATTCTTTACATTTGAAGCTTATCTATACAAATTGTTGTCAAAACTTTTAAGGTATGAACAAGGGTTCAACAAAAAATAAAAGAAAAAGATAATAGCACTTGGCTAAACCACTCTTCTATGTCTTGCTTCCATTCCTATCTTAGCATCTCCAACAAACCCTTCACAAAGTTTATGGTTGCTACTCACTACATATTTCGTGGTAGCTGCCTATACCTGTTTCAACATAGACTTGGATTTGTGTGGATGAATCATGCCCAACCATAACATTGCATATGTGCATTTGTTTGTGGTGGACAATCATAATGTGGGCAATTGTTTTGAGATTTCTAATAGTGCAAGTAATGCAGCTTCATGATGGTGTAAAAAAGTCGGGTATCATGGGTTCCTGTGATCTTTGTCCTGGAGAGCCTAAGCAGTTATCTCTTTTGTAGCTCCCTAGGCTGCACCATCATGTTGGAAGATATAATTTTCTGATAGGTTATTTTATTAATGCAGGTAGCAGCTGATGACTATGGGGAGTTGATGATAGCACAAGAAGCACATAGAATCTGAACATCACTCAAATTTTGAAGCACAACCTGGTCACCTCCTGACCCCCACCAATTTTGCATTCCTCGCCATGCCCCTGAGGTACCTTTACTTGCAATTCATTGATCTTGTTACAATTATTTGTCCCATCGTGATCCTACTGTAGGCAGAGATTCTGCATATTGTTGATGTAATTGATGACGATAATAATTAAAAAAACAAAACCCTGTTCTTTTTCTTGGGTGAGAATGTACTGAGTAAAATTTTTGCTTATCATCAAGAGATATTGTTCAACTCCTGGATACACATCGATTTTCTGAAGGGTAGGGCCAGTTTGATAGTTCAATTGGACCTGACTAGGTAGTTATGGGCTTGGCATCAATATCTTGAACTCAATCAATGTTGATCGTGAGCATTGATCCAGTCTGATTCAGGTCCAGATTCTTTTTTTTTTTTTTTGTGACTAATGCTAATCAAGACGTGTGTACACGCAAACACCCCAAACAGCTTCATCCCAGGCTGATATTCATTATCAAAGGGGTCAGCCAATGGCAAGCGTCCGAATATACAGAAAATTCCTTCCACTGGTATTGATCCTACAAGCCACAAAATGAGCAGCCCCATTCTTAATTCTTCCTATAATTTGACCATGAATATTGCCTTGTTTGGATCTGCAACATGGCATAGGTACATTACAAATATGTCTGCCTGACTTGGAAATCTCCTGAGAGCAAAAATTCTTCTTTGTTCATAGTTCTTTCTTTGCCTCTCTTATTTTTCTTTGACCTTCGGCTTCTTTCCTTCCGATGTATGCCTAAATAAGGTCCAAGGTTTACAACCATTTTACAGCAAGAGGCATATGGTACATAAAACATGGCAGAGTTCTGATTATTTGGCTACAAACATCTCTCTGTGTACCCGTAGTAATACTCTATTCATCAAAGGCAGTACCAAAATAACACTGACAGATTGATCCAATTTGTCTGAGATTTGGAATTGCCATTTATTAAGACCTTGATCAAGCCAACTGTTTCAGGTATTGACGTACTGTTTATTCAAAACCTTGTAGTTGTTTGATCAGGTCACATCTCACATGGCACTCCAGTAGAAAGTCTAATCTATATTACAAAAAAAAAGTGAGATTTTTCCGGGTTGATTTGATGCAATTTATCTTCAGATGTGCAACATGTCCTGACTTATGGAGAGACTCAGAATCCCAATGAATAGGAGAATAGTAGAATACAGCCCCAAGGCCAAAACCTTAGAAATGGTAAACGTGAATGATCACTTCAGATCTGTGAAAACTTGGAAACCTCCCATTTGGTTCTTTGGATATATCATCGTAATTTGTTCTTCTGTTCCTTTCTCATTAATAAAATTCTCCCAATCTTCCCCCTTTTCCTTCTTTGTTCTGCTTTACAATTTTGCTTAATTGATAATTGTATTCCATGAAGGTCCGAGCACCTTGGGAACGGCCGAGAAATCAACATTTATGTCAGACCAACATGAAGGTTTTCAGGTCCTGTACGATTTTGATTGTGTCCACACCAGAGCTGTCAGAATGACGCTTGTCTCCTTCATGAGAAAGAAAGAAGGTGAAATCACAGTAAGGTAAATAGTGGTAGGTAATCTGGCAAACCAGGCTACTCCGGGCTCAAGTCAAATCTACCATTAGTGGTCGATCGGATTTCGTCCTCACAGCAATTGCAGCCGTGCATTTGAAACATATTTGTACATGTATGTTTTCATCATTCATGGGAAGATATTCCCAATGCACGGCTGAAGTGTTGTGAGAATGGTGTGAGGATAAATTTTCTGAGAATGAAATTGGAATTCTAGTGGTAATAGTGGTGGTAATTTCTAGTCTAAGACCAACCCAGAAGATTTCAAGATTTCCACACTACAGCTGTACATTGGGAACATGAGATACTACAGCTGTAGTGTCATGTGGGTAGGATTTTTGTGAGCAGGAGATCTGAATTATTATTATTATTTTTTTTGTGGTGGAAATCCTGATTTTAATAGTTAGTGATAATTTCCTTATGCATGGCTGAAGTGTTGTGAGGATAGTGTAAGGACAAAATTTGTGAGGATAAAATCTGAATTTTAATAGTAGTACACTAGTACCGTAGTAGTAGTAGTTTCTAGCCTAGGCCGACCCACAGGACAGGCCTGAATCTGGACTAACAGACCTAGGTGCGCCCAACTGCCCATTGAGGAGGGCTTTTTGGCAGCATTTTCTGGCTTTGTGATGTTGGCCCCACATGGAAAGTCAAAAAGCTATGTTCGTGAAATTCCGGAAATCCAATTTTGGTGTCGTTGAACCCACGGTTTTTAAAACCGAACCGGTCAAGGGTCCGGTTACTGGTTTGAACGGTCTGACTGTTTGACCTGAATGACCGGCCTGTTCTGACAAAAAATAAAAAAATTTAAAAATTGGAAAATGGTCAAAACCGTTCGAATGGTTAACTGGCCGGTTCAGCAGTTTGCTGATCAAAATCAACAGTTTTGAGGGAAAAGCGGTTTTGGAGGAAAACGGAACCGGTTAGGTGATCGGTTCCCGGTTTCTCCGGTCTGACTGTTCGGTCCGGTCCGGTTTTAGTGGTTGAACTAGTTAAACAACTTTCTAGTTAAGGTACTCTAAGTAGCTTATCATTAGGGATGCTCATGAAAAACTGAAAACCAACCAAAATGAGAAACCAAACATAAGAACGTAGTTAATCAAATTGATTAGTTAAAACCGAAAAAACCAAATTGATCAACTGATTAATTGATTGATTTGATTCAGTTTCGGTTCGGTCTTCTACAAAAATTGAAGGACCAGTTTGGTTTCAAATATTGGACCACGGTTTGGTTACTGAAATGTCAGCACCCCTAAGAACACCAAATGCGCAAGTTGAGCTCTCAAGAAAAAAATATTCTCTATTTTTTAAATTACATTTATTACCCCTTATATGAGGCTTGGAAGTGTAAATTATAAAGCATCTCAACCAAACATAGAGCAAACGTGTTTCTGCAATTCTTCTTCCCTTTCTACACTGAAGAAGAACAGTCACCGCTGGTTATCTTTGCGAAAAAATAGTATGTGCTTGGTTCCATGGGTGTTTATAGATGGGTAGTTTATTTGTATTTTTTCACTGTAAACGTTTTTTGTTTTCCTTGTTTGATTGGACATTACTTTAAATATTTTTTTAATTTTTACTTAAGATTAATATCCATTAAAGTGTGCCAAATCAGCATTTGGTTTCAAGAAACACTGGGGCATTGGGGGAAACAAGAATTTAATGTTTTTCCAAATGTCCTTATGCAAAAAAATCAAAGTGTCTCAGTTTTCTACCATTTATTTGATAAATGGCGAAATTAAAAAGTTGTTTCACAATGTTTCATATTTAATAAATGTCAATGCCTATGTGGCGCTGATGTGGTAATGTTTTTGAGCCAAAATCATCAAAAGAAACATGATTGCTAAGGTTTTTCCTTCACTTTTTTTTTCTTCATCTTCCTCAAAAAATATATAATTTTTTAGACTGATCTGGTACGAAGAGTATTTTTATTAACTCCTCAATTTGACTGCTCAGTCAAAGCAGCGTTTTTACAGCAGTTCAATCAAGGTAGCTCAATGAAAACGTAAACTCTCCCAAACCAGCCAGCCCTAGATTTCCTCCATTTGTTAGTGCTCACTTTAGCCCTACCGTGACTGGTTTATGTATATTTACATGTATAGATATTTATGCATATTTAAATACACATAAGGTTTATAAAGGTTATAAAATTGTAATATATGATATATGGATGCATATTTATAAATAGTAGCATGATAATTACAGATACACACAAAACATGAATACTAATGTAGACGTATATTCAACGGCCTTTTTTGAAGTTTAGTAATTCGAGCTAATCAATTCTTTATTTTTATTTTATTTTATTTCTGGTATTGAATCATTCGCCTTTGCCCTCATACGGACTGTACTTCAATTTTTCTTGGCATAGCATTGTACTTTTTCTAGCAACATTAATAATTCTTCTTAAAAGTGGTGAGAGTTGATAGCGGGGTTGAAACCGTAACTCACCTGAGACTACATAGTTTAGGTGCCAACCAAGTCACCACTCAGTTGTTAATAGGTAATCACTTCAAATTTAATCTTAGGTTTGAGTATCAATTTTAGTGAAATTTTTTTTCCCCTTTCAATTCTGTTCTTGGCTAAGCCAACTATAATTGGTTCTCTGCGACTTTGCCCTGGCTCAAAAAATGGTCACCCTAGCCTAGCCTAACCTGGCATTTGCAAACATAAAATAGATGCTCGAGTCAGGTTCGGTCTCCTGCCTAAGATCCCTCTGGCCACCAAAATCTCTAACCCATTATAATTTATATAAAGGTTATTAGCTTGACCCAAATTGGTCCTACAAGCCTATTAGCCTGGGGATACATGTAAACCCGACAACGGTGGAAACCCTGCCAGAGAAAAATAAATGAATCAGATTTTTTAGATGGAGGTTTGGACGTGAAGCCAAGGCAAGTATCCTATTGTACGGTAAAGATGTAAACATTTATCCGAGAGGGAAGAGGGAAATATAAGGGATAAAATAAATTATAATATACGATGGTTACGACTTACAAATGGAAGGGGAAAGGTATGAGACCAGAGATATTTGATGGGGCTTACCAATTTATTTTCTTTCTTGCCTTTTTCATGGCCAATGGGCCTAATTGATTGGTTATAATGGACCTATTTGAAAACCGGAGAAAGGGGCCTCTGGGCTAATTGAGAAAGAGATTTGATGGGGCTTACCCATTTCTTTTCTTTCCTCCTTTCTTTTGTATGGGCAATGGACCAACTTTTTTTTCTTTTTTGGTTGTAATGGACCTATTTGAAAGCTGGAGAAAGGGCCTTTTGAACTAATTTATGTGTAATGCGGCCACTTGATGGCCATGGTCCTAACTCTCAATTTGAATCCTGGACCTTGCTTGGATGCTCTTTTCCTTCAGAAGGGGAAGGAAGTGTCTATGAAGATAAGCAAAGAAGAGGGAGTTTTTCTTTCTTATGGACCCTTTCCCATTTCTTTTCTTTCTTGCCTTCTTTTTTTGGGCCAATGGGCCAAGTCTATTGGTTATAATGGACCCTTTCTTATGGATATGGACCTATTGGAAAACTGGAGAAAGGGTCTTGTGAGCTAATTTATGTGTAATGCGTAGGGATGGCAATTTTCCCCATCCCTGATGAGTATCCAACTTCCCCCACCCCATTGGGTCAGGGATGGGGATTGCTTTGGCAGGGTAGGGGTGGAGTGGGGATGGGGAATGAGGTCCCTACCCTGCCCCGACCCCAATTATGTATATTAAATATATTATATATGATATTATTTATATTATACATATATATATATACATGTATATATATATATATATCAAAATGTATTTAAAATATTATTTATATTTAAAATTATTTATTTATTTTTCAAAAAATATTGTTAAAAAATTTTGGGCATTCGGATTCTCGTGGAGAATCCATCCCCGTCAGGGATGGGAATGCAGGACAACTTTTATACCCAATGGGGATTAGGGTTGGAGATGGGGATTTATTCCAAAATCAGGGTTGGAGACGGGGAATATGATCCCCGCCCCAAACCAGCCCCCGTTGCCATTCCTGGTAATGCGTCCACTTGATGACCATGGTCCTAACTCTTAAGTGGAATCCTGGGCCTTGCTTGGATATTCTTTTCCTTCATAAGGAGAAGGAAGTGTCTATGTAGATAAGCTATGTTAAATAAGAGAGCAATAACTATTAGAAAAGATTAACAAAAAAAAGGAAAAAAAAGAACTATCAGAAAACCCACCAAGGTCTTTTTAGGAGGGAAATTGTGCAAGTAGACAAGCATTATTAAATGACGAAGCACTACTTTTGATAAAACCCAGTAGCTTTCATGAGATGGCAGAAAGGCCCACTCCATCCTATTGGAAAGTTTTGAGCTTTTGGAGAACTCGACGGATTTGGCTATGTTTCTAGAGTTGCTATTGCATATATTTTCAGGCTTAAAATTAGAATTTCTAAAAGAAAGAAAGAAAGGTCTTACTGGTCAAGATTTTGGGTTTACGCTAGTGTCATGGAGTTCCTTAACGTAGGAGCATTTCTTTAGGCCTTGGTGCCATTCCCAAGTCCCATAGAAACTAGAAACCATGTATGGGTAACCTGATTAAACAATTTTTTTCTATGTATTCAAAGCTGTGTCTAATGCATAGAAACTGCAACTGAAAATCGTGGCAGCCAAAAATAACATAAAGAAAAAAGAAATAAATCAAATGTAATACCTCCATCACTAAAAAGATGCAACATATTGGGTTCAGATTCTGGTGAACATAGTATAGATTTTGGCTCCTTACTTTACATTATCATCTAAGCAATTTCCATTGAGTTTAAGTTGATTATGTTGTAGCTTAATTGGTTCTTTTTGTTCAGTTAATTTATGACTTACATAGTAAGTTCTTATTATCAGCTTAATCTTAATATCAATAAAAAGTGTTGACACTAGAAATGTCAATTATATTATAGGGAAAATGTATATTGTTCACAATTAACTAACTTATGTATTGATTTCTTTTTATATTTTCAGAGGAGATAAGTTGGGGAAGAAATGTTTTCTTGACAAATCATATATCATATCTAGGTGAAGTCTTAGTCCAAACACCTGGTAAGATGGTTAGCCACATATTTAACACCTTTATTGGTTCATCATGTGTACAAAGATGCTATCCCATAAGTCTCAATGAATATTCCTAGTTATATACCCTTGCCAAAATGAAATAACATACCAAATAGTTATATCTGAAACTTTTTCTTTAAAGGATGTTCCAATACCAGTATCATGTACCCAGCAACTACTTTATTGAAAGGAGCATCAAACATTAGCTAGCGAAAACTGTTCAATTGGAATTATAAGATGTTATTTTCATATACCATGTTTCCATGATATTATATTCGAAAGAAGGGAAGAAGAAGAAGATGATGATGATGATGATGATGACAATGCTGATGGTGTACGTAAAGCAAATATGAGCCTAGCTCTTTTCAGCTGTCAATGGTGAAATTTTTTTGTTAACAATCCTCTAAAGAAGACATCAAAACTAAGAAGATCTCCACCAAGAAGACATAACATCTTGGGTTCAGTTTTTGGTGAACATAATACAGATTTCTTTCATCTAAGCATATTATTTCTGTAACTTGATTTGTTATTGTATAACAATCTCTTGTTTCAGATTAATCTTAAAAAAGAGTATGACTATGACCACATACATGTCATAACATTCTTATGACTTAGAAAATCTAAAAATGTAAATAAAATAGCATGTCAGTTGAGGAAAAAAAGACATAATCACATTAAACTAACATCTGTATTGTTTTTTAGGATCTAAATGGAGTTAAAATTTGGAAAAGGAATACGTTTTCAGCTACATGTTTCCCACCTTTATTTGTTCATTGTGCAGCAAACCTTGCCCAATAAGTTTTAATGAACATTCCTAGTTATATGCTTTTACCAACATGAAATAACATACCAAATGAATCATATCCAAAAAATTTTAGGTGGATGCTCCAATACCGATACCGTGTACCTATAAACAACTTGAACGAAAGGAGCATCGAATATTTGTTAAAAATGTCGAATATCAATTTGAATAAGAAGATGTCATTCTCATGTTCCATATTTCAACAAGTTTGGATTAAAAGAATGGGAAAATATCAATCTGAATGACTTATTCTAATCTGGAAGTTCATTTGTTAACCTCCTCTAAAGATGGCATCAAAATCAATGAATGATATAATTACACTTAATCTTTATTATTAACGTTTTGAAAACATAAAATGAGCATTTAAAATGAATTCACTATTAGAAATATGGCAAGGCCATAGATGAGGTCATCTCATAGGATTCTATGATATTTATTTGAAATTTTGAATATAAACTTAATTAATATTTTTTAAATGAGTTTACTTGATTCTATTGCTCTCAAACACTCATTGAAAAACATTCTTGTCTTTATAAGGATTAAGGTGTAAAGAACTGTTATCAAAATACTTAAGTATTTTCAGCTAGTGGAACAGGAATTCAAGAATAGCCTCCCTGCTAATGAACTAAGAGGAAACAAGTCTTCTTGACCAAGTGATGATGATACATTATTTTTTTTTCTATATATACAGAACTGGGGTTGCACTAGGTTATATGGAGTTGCTAATTTTTTGAGAATTGATACGAGGTCTTTGTACCAGTCCCAACAATACCAGTTTCACTGGTAAGAAACAATTTCTGAGATGTTCCCAAAATCTGTCACAGTGGACATGAAAACTATACCATATATATTTTTTGGTAAACTTTAACCCATGTATAGAGTCTGTCATAGTGGCCTTTCAATTGCTGCTGCTGAGATTTGCCTGTTAACATGCTGGAATAATTTGATTTAGGATTTTTTTTTTAACATTTGAAAGCATGAATTCATCCATCTAAGATGAATTTGTCTATCATGTCACAAGAAGAATGGATTAAAAAGAAGAAGAAGAGGGGGAGGAGGAGGCATGAAAAGTTATACATCCAAAGTTAAAGTCAGCCCTAGGGCTTTTTAATTGCTGCTTCTGAAATTCGTCTTTTAACATCATTTAAAGAAGGCATCAAAATAAGAATCTAGCTTTCTTGATGCCAGATGCTTTGGATTAATAAATGGGACACCTCAAAACCGAATGCAATGCAATAACTTGTTTCAAGTTTTTCATTAGCAATTGAAAGCTTAAACTCATCATTTAAGGCGAGCCCACCAAGTGTGTTTGTTTCATGAAAAAACAATTGAGAAAGGAAAATTTGTTAATGAGTTTCATAAGATGCCTTGGGGGACTTTCTCACAAAATTTCCTCTAGCTCACTTCTAATAACCCAAAAACAGCCCAATAGAGTTGTGAAAGAATAAGAAACATGGTAATTTTAGAATTCTTTAAGTGATCATTTGAACTTAATTAATATTTTCACAATGACTTTGTTTGATTTCATTGCCTGTGACTTCCGAAAAAACTAATTAAGATTTAAGAAGCATAAAGATGCAAGAAAAGTGCTGATTAGGGCACAGCCCAATTTTGGTAAACCAGGAACATCTGTGTGAAAAGACAACAGATACCCCTAATATAATAAATTAGACAGGTGCATGGGGTGCCTGTCTCTTTCAAGACATTGCTTTTGGTCTATTCACTAGGGGTATGAATAGACCCCTTTATCAAAAACTGAGATGTCCTCTCTCTAATCACAACTCTTGGAAGCATCTCACAAGACAAAAGTGTAAATATTGGAGTTTGTTTGGACAGCCTGGGAATGATATTGTTTGAAACCCACATCACTGCTGTTTGGCCAACTAACCATGATGCATGAATGTTTTGTATTGGGTGAGATCTTATTGCCCTAATATCTAAGTAATCTCCAAACACAAGTAAGAATTGTACACACAGCTCATCACCAATTCACCAATCAAGGATTGGAATCTCCTCACTACCCTTACCCAGTACCCACATTTCATTGGCTTGAAAGTTGAAATTGATCGAAATCCTTTTAAGAAAATTCATTGGATTTTAAATTATCCTCACTGAATCATTCAGACCACAGTACCACACTAACAAGTGGGCCCCTATTTTTTTATAGAAAATAAAAAGTGGGCCCCTGATTTATCTCCTTGTTCTTGCCCCTGATGTATGTTATTGTTATTTTAATTCCGCCTAGCCTATAAATCAGGGCCATGTCACCACGTCTCACCCCAGAAAAAGATCCCAGTTTCAGTTCCAGGGAATATTCTAAAGCAGATTCTTTGGAGTCATCCACTCCTCAGTTCCTTTTCTCTTTTCGCAATAAAATAACTGCCGGGGTCGTTGGGACATGGTTTGAACAATAACCGAATATGCCTGGAATTCTTTTACTTCACCAAGCTTTTAAGGTCCTCTGCCCACTTCGCCTTATCACGTTTAGCATATGCCTTCAAATATTCTACTTCTCACTATTTTAACCTCTGCTTCTTCTTCTATGTTATCCTACAGTCCTACTTTGAACTCTCTGAGCTAATAATCTGTTCTGGTCCCTTTTGAGTTAAAGGAGGGACAATAGCTATGAAATTCGGGAAGAGACTGAAAAACCAAATTCAAGAAACTTTGCCCGAGTGGCGGGATAAGTTCTTGTCTTACAAGGATATGAAGAAGCTTGTCCGGCTCATCTCTTCTGGGCCGTCGACATCCGAGGAATTGCCCGACTCCGGGAAGGCGGAAGCAGAGTTTATTTACCTCCTGAATTCCGAGATCGACAAGTTCAATTCGTTCTTTGTGGAGCAAGAAGAGGACTTCATAATCCGCCATAGAGTAAGTCATGCAATTTCTTTTTGTGGGTTTTCGGTGTTTGATGAAATTCGGTAGTTAACACTCTAGGGCGCTAGTTTAGGCTGGAGGAGAGACATTGGGTTGGGTTTGGTACAAGCTGTGTCAAGGGAATCTTATTTAACCCTGAACTGCCCAAATTAACACAAGTTCTAAACCAAATATGTAATCCGTAAGATACAGAACAGAAACTGAGGATAGCTGTTCAGGTGTCGCTTCATTTGATCTTAACAAATGCTGAAATGCTGACTAAAGTGTATGTTTGTGATGGTGAAGGAACCAAATTGGTTAAAGGAGACCGAGATTGAAAGATATCTAATGAAATTGTAGCAGGACCTTAAATGTGCCTGGAGCCGGAAGCAACAGTTCATTTGGATCACGTTATTAAACAAGTTGATCCAACTAATTGCAAACTCAAGCTGGGGAATCGTATCATATGACATTCATGTTGCTTAGCTTGTCATGAAAACACTTAAAGAAATAAATGCTTCTTCCCATTGTGAGACTGGGATTGACTTGCAAACTCTATCTGATGCTGCTCTATGTTGCAAATTCATGCAGGTTTGATACCAGGCTTTTTTTTATTTTTTTTTATTTTTTATGGGAGGTTTGATCCCAAACTAGTACCATGGGAAGGAGATTCCCGTGGACGAAAAGGATGAAATCAGACCCTTTTTTTTTTAAGACACTTTTTACATGTTTCTGTGTGGGTTGGGGGGAGGAGTGATCAAATAAAGAGGTACGCTTTGAATGAATAGTCATTGAAGTATTATGGACTATTAGGGTTATTCACTATGACTAATATAATATCAATTGAGAGTCAATAACCCTTTCTGTATGAGCCGTTCCATTTGAAACTGTTTGATCCATGGTAAATGGATTTGAGTATGACAGTCTGGTGCGAGGGGTTTTGAGGATCACATATGGAATTACCTTCTTAAATTGCCTTTCATAGGTTGTGTTTGGTACCATTACCATTTCAGGCGTTTTGACATGAAGCTTGTTTGGTTGGTACTTTTACTGACTAGGCATTGAACAAGTTTTGAGCCACTCCGGATCTCCTACTCACAAGACACTACCAGCTTGTATTGCAAACATCTCCCCATGAACAGCTGTAGTGTCTTGTGGGTAGGGATGTGGGAAGAGTTTGTGGGTAGAAGATCCGAGCTCATTTTGAGCAGTATTGTGTTTTGTATGGGCATTGCTACTTAAAATGTTTAAATGAAATGATTATATTCAATGTGACACCATCCTACTATACTGACTCTCATCCATATGGTCAAATTTAAAAATAAATGTTTTCTGATGAGTTGCTTAATATTACATAGATTAATATCTATATCAGATCTAATGGTTCTAGAAGCTTAGACCCCCACCCCCCCCCAAAAAAAAAAAAAAAAAAAAAAAAAAAAACTTTGTTTTGGTGGCAGGCTTTATGGGTACTAGATGGTATATATCCATCTTTGCTAGTATGCGATGCACCAGAATATATTTCCACACTGCCACTTAGGATGCCAACTAAGAGCCAGGTCATTGGACTGTTTCTTCAAATGGTCAGCTGATGGAGGAAACATCAGTGTTTCCCCCAACAGCCCTGAGTTTATGTTTCTAGTAGAAATGTTTTATCACTGTTTTAACTTAAAACAGTATCAACCAAACATAAATTGATGTTTAAATTCAAAATGCCTAGGTGATGCTGGTGTTGCAGCATTTCAAGTAGAAACAGCCATGGTACCAAACATCAGCATAGTATATTACTTGGATGGATTTCAAATGTGTGTTGTCAGTGAAAAAAAAAACATTGTTTATGAAGATAAATTATTGATTTGGCAATTTACTTTCTGTACAACACATACTAGTTCAGCCATGGATCTCAAGTACCCAGTTCAATGGAAACTCACTAGTTCTGCTGCACCTAAAAGGTTTCTTAATAACTTAATTGAACTCACAAGTGTTTGTGTTGATTTGAAGATCCTTATTGTGGTTGAATATTATGTTATTTGTGATCCTTCATGTGGTGAAACTCTCAACTACCGTTACTATTTGCACTCGCAATACAAATGCAGAGGTTTTTACAACTGGTAGTGCCAAATGCTTATTTGAAAGTCTCTTATTCTCCTTGGAGATCGCCACATAGTAAGACAGTTGAACTAATAATTGGTTGGAAATGCTGATATAGGAGCTAAAACAGAGGATCCAAAAGGTGATTACCACATATGGACCAAATGGAGCTCAACCTTCAGAGGTGGATTATAATAAGGAGATGGGGAGGATCAGAAAAGACATAATCAACTTCCATGGAGAAATGGTGTTGTTGGAAAACTATAGCAATATCAATTACACAGGTACTCATTAGCCTCAAGCTTGAATCTACATTCATTTTAAAGAAAACACGAAGTATTTGTATAATAGCATGACATCTCAGAGCTGCAAACTAGCATATGCTGATATGCACATTCAGACTAATGATATCCACCATTCTATGGGTCCTATGCCAGATATAACCTATTTAACAAAGAGAAAATGATTCAAAAATAAAAACACTTCCTTGTGCTTGAACTAGTTATCAATTGTCAGACAAAAAAACACATTACACTACATGAATTCCCCCCCACCAATTTGAAGTTGGAGGCTTAACAGCTCATTCACACATAAGCATGTGCATTTAGAACCATTTCCCTTGACAGATGTAGGTGGGCGGTTTCCATCAGGCTAGGTCAAAATTTGGCCTGAGATCTTGGAATGACCATCAAATTCTGGGTCACAATCATTCTGCATGTGCCATGTGCATGACAGCCGTGAGGAGGACATCTTGCCTCAATTTCTGTAACTCTTTGATTAACCATCATTCCTTGGAATAGAATTGGTATTAAAAATGATTTAATTTATTTTTAAAATCAATGTGTAATTACAGACATAGATTGTTGCAGGGTTGGCTAAGATATTGAAGAAGTACGACAAGCGGACTGGAGGTTTGTTGCGATTACCATTCATTCAGAAGGTGTTGCAGCAACCTTTCTTCACAACCGACCTTGTATCAAAGCTTGTTAAAGAATGTGAAGACACAATAGATGCAGTGTTTCCCGTTAAGGATGAAGAGGGTAGAAGAGAAGAAAAAGGGGAGAGAAAAGTAGCAATGTTACCTGGTCAGAGCATTTTCAGGAATACCGTTGCTGCTCTAGTTACCATGCAAGAGATGAGAAAGGGGAGCTCTACATACAGTCACTTTTCACTTCCTCCTCTCAACTTGACAGACTCAAATTATTCAGTCCTTCCAACTTGACTCTCCCATTCGTATTCTCTAATACAAAAAAGAAATATCAAATGAAAATTTATAGTTATTACAGAGTACATACTTCTGTTATTTTTCTCTTTTTCTTTCAATTAGATTATCATTATTGTTCCTTAATTTAGGTGTGATGATGAAAAAGAATGTCTGATAAACATAACATATGAGCAGATTCATATGTTTGGAACACAAAGGCAATTATGCACTATATGTATTGTCTTGATCTATAATTGGGTAATATTCAAGAAAGGAAAGTCATACTTTTTATAATGCATTTTTTTTATTACAGAGATACTAATTTATATTGTAAAAAGTAAAAAATAAAATTTAAATTCCACCATAACAATTCAAATAAATACAATTGTTCTTATAACTTTTTTGGTGCTTGCTTGATTTCCTATCTGCATAAAATCACAGATAAAATTTAACTTTACACTGACTGATATTTCCATGTTAATGGATTTTATTCTCTTTGAATTGAATACAGGAGAAAATTTGGTATACCTACACAACCTGCTTGCAAACCTGACAAAAGTAACAAATAAATAAATAAATAAATTTGGTATACCAACAATCAAACTATCCAACAGTTTATAATTGCCATTAACCTTTAATTGCCTGATTTAAATTTACAATGGAAAACTCCCATTTCTAATAAGTCTTTAGAGGAAAAATTGATCATAAACGTTTTCATTGTACAAAGAAATGAATGCCTTCTGGAACAAAGTTTGAACTATGAAGACAAAGTAGGAAAAAAAAAGAAAGAAAACTAATCACATGGCAAAGCCTTTGGTCACTTCTCAGATTTTATCCAAGTTTTGGCAACCTTGATTTGATTTGTTTCAAATTCTGTTCAAACTTGTCAATAAAACCAGAGAAGACAGTTTTAGATTTTTTTACTTACATTGTTAATACATCACTCAATAAACAAGATATCATCAAGCAGAGTAGTTAAATGTCTCCAGATTTATGATCAAGTAGGCAAGATCTCATCAAATGGTGTTTATTATGATCTACTTGCCTCATAATGCTATTACTTGTTGGCATTTGTATTATTGATAAATTAATGTTTCGTGAAACTTTATGCATCAATGCCACAATTATTAACAAGTGAAGGTTATGTAAAAAAGACAATACCAATGAACTCCCTAAAAATGGAATATTTCTTCAATAGTGCAGCCAATTGTGACCAAGAAAGTAGCTTACTGTTCCAGACTTCCAAGTGTCAAGAGTAGGGGGCTCATCTTTCCCTTAATTAATTAATATTGGTATAGTAAAAGTTTCCTGAGCAAACCTTCTAAGTGATTAAAATAGTCCCTCGTTACAAGATACTATCTGAACATCTACAGAGTAGAAAAGCTTAATTCTATGTTTTCTTTTTATCAATGTGGGATTTGTCATTTTTTTCTTTGGGAGAAGATGGTATGTATGATATAAGTGTTAAGTTATGTTAGTTTGTGTCAAGACTGGAGAAAAGGATGGTAATTCTTTCATCAGATGGTTATGAAGCTCTTAAATTGTAACACCACCATGATCTCATGATCTCAACGAGCAGAAGTCTAATTGATTGACATAAACCAAGTGATCTTATTGTATTCTGTTCTCTTGGTTATATTTTATAAGTTGAAGTTTTTCTGGTTGAACGAGTTCATACTCTTTTTTTTTTTCTTTTTTTTTGTGGGGAGGGGGAACCAAATAGCAGGGCTGCAGGATGATAACAAGTACAGAGGTTGTGATTTGGACATGTTCAATTACTCAATATCTATTCTGATGGGATCCATGAGATTGGAGTTCAGGTGAACATGCAAAATAATGGGGCACAACACTAAGATCATCCTTTGACCCATGAAGAGGAAATTATTAACTGAACAAGTATATGACTTATGGGGTGTCTTGATATGGAAGAATTTTATGGTTTTGCATTGCACTTGAGAAAACAGGTTGATAATCTAAAATGGAATTATTTTCCATTGTGACTGGGATGAGATCATTTTGAGAATTCAAGAAAATGATCTCAATTCTGATCAAAATGAAAAAGAGCTCATTTCTGGGTAATGATATTTATAAGGATAACTGGCTACATATGTAATAATCAGAACCATAGATTGACTGAAATTTGTGGGCTTGCACATAATATGTTTATAGAACATATTGATCAGAACCTAATAGCAGATTGGAATGATATGGCCTTAAAAAGAGAACAAAAACTATCTTGCTTGGATGGAAGCCCTCAATTCAATTCACAGTCAAGATAAATTTTGATGCCCGGGTGAGGCAAGACAAGGAGGAAAAAGTTGGATGCATAGCAAGGGATTATCATGGTTAGGCTCCACAATTGACCTAGCAAGGGAAGTAATAAAGCTGGTAAAGGATCATGGTTGGAAAAGAGATCTGGCTTCTAATAAATAGACTTGAAGCTTGTGATTGGTGATTGGATGCCCCCTCCAAAATGTGAGTTCAAATCAGCCCCCCACAACGTCCCACAGCACATCCCTGCCGTGTATTGAGAACATTTTCTGATAATAATACCATGAATGATGATGTCATCATCGGGAGATGCTCTCAATACACGGCGGGGATGTGCTGTGGGACATTGTGGGGGGCTGATTCCGTCTCCCAAAATATTTGCCATATCTCATGGAGAATGGTTAACTAAACCATTGTAGCCCTGCATTAGGAACATCTTCCATGAATGACAACATACAAGTAAGGAAGATGTTCTTGATGTGCAGCTATAATGTGCTGTGTGGTTGGTGTGAGGAGCGCTGTGAGGAGCTGATCTGATTTTTCAATCAAGTGGCCGATTTCATAAAAAATAGGCATGATTGGTGAATTAATTAGTATGAAGCTCTTTTTTTGTACTTTTTGGAGTTTAAAAAGATGTACCTTTTCACATAATTGCTATTATTTAAACCTATCAACTTGACCCAACTCAAAGTAGGATACGAGTCAAAGAATTTAATCAATTTATATTGCATTGGGCCAGGCCCAATAAAAATTTAGTAAAATCCCAACCTGAGCCCACCTAACTTGCACCCCCACCTCAAAGTATTCAATGTAGTGACCCTAAAAACCAATATGTGATGATATTTTGAGCATTGCAGATAGAGGTTGGTAGACCAAACAAATAGGGATTTACAGCTTAGAGCTTTTATTCAAGTCGGTCAATGATCAGATAGATTTTATTGATTTGTAGGCTCAGTTTGGAAGGAGTACAAATACAATATGTACAGTGTAAATACCTATAAAATACAAGGTTTTGCACTCTACATATTTGTATTTGCACTAGGCTCAGTTTGGAAGGAGTATAAATATAAATTTTAGAGTGCGAAACCTTGTATTTTGTATATATTTGCACTGTACATATTTGCATTTGTACTCTTTCCAAACTGAGCATTAGGGATGTGTGTACCCAGATTTGTGTAGCTCTTCTTCTCTCATCGTTCAAAGAGTAGAGAAAAAACTAATATAAAACACCAAACGGTAAATTGCATATTAATACCCTGTACATTGGGGTTAGTCTCGCTTTGGTACTCTCACTTCAAAATGTATTATTGCAGTACCTGAACTCTCAAAAACTGCCAATTTAATCCTTAATTGTTAACGGATGGGAAAGGACACAAATACCCCTTCAAGATTTGAATAGGTAGAGCAGCATAATTTTGAAATGGCCAAAATAACCATATTTAAATCCCTTTTCACTACAATTGGGCATCACTTTACACTTTATGCCCTAACCTTTCTGTTGAAGAACTAGTGCTTCCCGTCAAGGAAGCTACACATAAAAAAAAAAAAGCCGGAGAAAACAATCTCATTGTCAGAGAAGAGGAATTTAAACTCCCATTATTGTAATTGTTTTTTCAGTTATTCAATCCAAAACAAAGGGAGACGGGATCTGCTCCTCACAAATGGGCGTCTCACATGCACATCCACCGTGCATGAAGAACATCTCCTATGAATAATAATTGATAAATACGGGAGATGTTCCCAATACATGGTAGAATGTGTGTGTGAGGCACCTGTGAGGCGCCAGGTGTGAGGAGCAGATCCGGGGGGGTTTATATTGCCGTTGTTGTTAGAAAAGACAAGTAACTCTTGCCATCACTAGAAAAGACAAAGTAAAATGATTTTAAAAATATTAAAAATGATAATTTTAGCATTTAAAAAAAATTAAATCACATTTATCATCATGCGATACAAATAACTAACGGACTCCATCATGCGATACAAATAACTTTTAGAGCACAATGAGATCACATTTATCATCATGCGCCAGGTGATAATCTGCAATTTACCCAACAGTAAAATAAGATGATCTCATTGTGCTCTAAAAGTTCACAGTAAAGTGAAATTCATATAAAAAAAACTTTTTATTTATTTTTTAATACTTAAATATGAAAAAAACTTACGAGGGTTTTGATTGGTCAAAGTCTTTTGGGTATCATACCCTTCCGTCATACCCTTCCGTCATCATACCAAGCGAATATGAAATAACTAACAAGTAGAATCCAAGCGAATATGAAATCTCTCCGGTATCATACCCTTCCGTCATCATAATAACTAACAAGTAATAACTATTAACTAATAGGAAAGGAAAATCTATGATGCCGGAAAGACATGTTACCGAAATAAATTGTAACGAAGGTAGTCCTAACTCCTAAGCTTCCTTTGAACATGGAAACTGAACCATAAAAAAAGATCCAAACAGTGATAATGGAGAAGTTGGTGCGATGGCGGGAGAAGGAACCTGCATATTCTGTCAGATCGCTCGTTCTTCCACTTCTACCACTCTCCTCCACTCCGTACGTTCTCCTTTATTTTATTTCCTTGTCTTCCTCTTGTGTTTGAATTTGACAATTGGCATTTTAAATTACCTGTATTTCTTGTAGGATGAGAAGGTCGTTGCCTTTCAAGATATCAGGCCTTCTGCGTTCAGGTCTCAATTTTATTTTGCATTGTTCTTCTCTTCTTTCCTAATCTTAACTTTAGTTATGAATTTTTATGTGTTTAGATGCTTGTTACAGAGCAAGAATCCTAGTATTTTTTAGTTCAAAATAATACAAGATTTTTTGTGACATTTTCGATGAAGCCCCACGGATCTGTGTTCCGCCCACCGCCCATGACCAAAAAAATGTTTCCAATGGGAAGAGGATTAACGTTTCAATCAGATCTTTGGTTGCTTGATCAGTTGATGCTTCTTTAGTGTTTAGAAAAAAAAATGTTTCTATTAGTTATTTGTGCTGAGAAGCTGAAATTTGGGATACCTACAATATCCAACTATGTCGTGTAATATGAAAAGTTTGGGTACCCAGCTTAGAAGGTGGTTTCTAAATTGGGTTTCTTTCTGCCTGGTGAGTGTTTTCAGCAAGTTGCTAAATTTTTTAATGTTTTCCTTTCTGATGTTTCTCGAGCTGTAGTAAGTTTCTACTTTTGGTTGCTGTATACCCTAGTTATCTGTGGATATCTTTTCTTATTCATAACTCTAAACATGGGACAAGATAGATAGGATAACATGTTAGACATCCAAATCATCTAGTCATGTACCGCAGTATTGAAGATCTTAGACAACACTAGTGATGCCATTTGAATATAGGGTAAATTGCAGATTAGTATCCTTTACTTTGGGGGTAGTCTCACTTTAGTATTCAAACTTTAAAATGTGCCACCGCAGTACCTGCACTCCCGAAAACTGCCATTTTAGTCCGACACCATTAATGGGCATTATAATGGATAATAAAATTACCAAACTGTCCTTTGTTTGTCATAACAACCAAATACGTTTACAGAATTGATGAATTGGTCTCTTCCATATGCTGACGGATGAGGAGCACGGAGTACCCTCATACTTGGTCTTTTCTATATGCCACCCATATTGAGGGGACTTGCTCTGTTCGTCCAAGATTGTTAAGTGCCAGGTCAAGGAATTCTTGACTATGACTTTGAGGGATGACTTTGAAATGGTATCTGGGCATCTCCGAGAGGAGGTGGACTAGTGGTGGGTTGGGGACTTTGTTCACTGCTGTTCTGGTTTAGTATCAAAGAAGAAGACAATGAACAATGTCTTCTTTTTGAAGGGTAATTTTGGGATTTTGAAAGTTTCAAATCACATGTGACATCACATGCATCAGATTAACTGATGGAATTCTAACGGCAGGGCCTAAGTGCCAGTTTTCAGGAGTTCAGGTACTGTACTAATATGCAATCTACCCCTGAATATATGATCTCTGTTGCAAGCAGTTGTTCAGATTACTTTATAATGATGGTTGTATAGCACTTTAGATTTTTCATTTGAGATTTTAACTTCTAGTATTAATATTGCACTCAAATGATTGATTTGTAAATTTTTCTGGTTCATTCACCAGAAAAGAAAGATTGTAAAGTTAAAGCAGAAGAAAGAAGATACAGTTTCTGTGAGAAATATTCAATTTTCAGGAGGAACTTAGCTTGTATTGTCCACTTCATCAGCCACCTCCATGGGAGACCATGATGCAGTAGTATAGCTAGCCCCTTAACCCTTAATAAAGTTGGGTTTAGACTTCAAAATCAGTTCCTAAACAAGCCAATAATCAGACATTTGTTAGAACTTTTAAACCTGTCCGTGATCAAACCAAGTCCATGACCCATACTGAAAACCCAGATCCTTGGCCAGCCAATCCATTAATCTTGGAAACATGAAGGAATTAATGCATGAACTATGGTGTTAGTGATAAGGTGTTTCCTGGAACTGAAGAAAGCCTGGAAATGACAAATTTCATCTTGAAGACTGAGAAGTCAGGTACTTAGCTATTATGAAATGTATGAGAATTAAAATATAGCCTTTTAAGAAATTAGTTAGAAAGTAGTAATTTAGTTTAGAAGCTAGTTCCCTTTACTAACAAGAGAAAACTTTCCCTCTACAAAGGGATGTAGTAATTTGCTTTTGGAAGATAAAGGATTGAGTAAAATGTTTTCCTTAAGCACTTTGTGCATTGGTGGTGTGACTCCATTTTCTTAAAGGTGTGCCTCCAATCTAGAATTAGAGTTCTAAGGTAAGATGCAAAATCCTACTCCATATCCAACCTTTGTCAGATTCAACGCCTACACTTCCTTGAATATGAGATATATCTCCTAGCAAAACTATATTGTAGGAGAAATTTGAATCAAGGCCTAAACTTGCTAGCAAAACTAAAGAGAAAAGTAGGATGGTTAGAAGTGTTTATTCCTAGAGCAAAATTAGGAATCAAGAGAGGTTGTCAGACCTCTTGATAGTCTATGAGTGGTCCAAAATTGTAGTAGAAACATAGGTTTAAATGAATGGTTAGTCCATTTAGTTTATGAATCTCTAAATTCTTGCTATTTCTTGATTTGTTCTTCCTGTACAGCAGTTCTGTTTTGGTAAACTTGTAGTAGGTTCTCTTTTTTTTGTTATGTGTATTGTTATTTATTTTTTGAATTTCTTCATATTGCTGTTCTATGACCAATTGCACCCTGTGCTTCTCAAGTTTTCTATTTGTGCTGATATAGCTTCCTCCTACAACATTATTTTCTATTATGAACCAGCTCCTTAATTCCCTTTCTCTTCTTTCAAGAGCATCTAAGCCTTTAAATTTTGATTTCCAACCATATTTCAAGGTGGGACAAAGTGGAATTTTTTTAATGAGATCTTGGTGAATTTTTGTGATTAGTCAAAATTTCAAGGAAAAATGTTAACACCCATAAGGGGAAAAAACTATTCAATCTTATCACTTCCTAATTTTTCTGATACTTCCTATTTCTCCATTTAATCCTAACTCTTTCTTCTTTCTATCTATCAATTCCTATTCTTTCTCAATTTCATATCAAAATTATAGGAAGCCTAACATTGCTGCTGGTAAGAAAGCAAGGGTTGTTTGGAGTGTGATTCATTTGCATTCTTCAGGGGCATATGGAACAACAAAACAATAGAATAATTGTAGCCAATATAAATTTTTTGATGTTGGGTGGGCTGTTAGCAAATCTAGGCTGTCTGGGCTTTCCAAGTTTTTCACTAAACATTGCTTATAGGCTGTCTGGGTGGTGCCTACCTTGCAAAACCAAAACCCGCCAAAGGAAATCAAAATCCCTCCCAAATGGGCGCCAAATCTCTTATGCACTGAGGTTTTTGTGTAAAATTTCAGTCTTTTATCTGAGATGACACAGCACCATTATACAGGCATCTGGGTATTATACCCGGAGTTTATTTCATTGATTGATGACTTCCTTTTCTTGACTTAGTTATTACAATTTGACAAATTGGCAGGCATTATCAGGTGATTCCTGTGGAGCACATTTCAACTATCAATGACCTCCAAAGGAGAGAGGAAGATTATCTTTTGGGTACTTTAAGTTATTGTTGATGCTAACTAATGTGTGGTTTTAAATCTTCATGGTTTTCCTTGCAGCTAATCTCCAATTTTGTATGATCTACAGTAAGTCACATGCTGAGTGTGGGGAAATCTCTACTACACAGAGATGCACCTCAGTCCATTGAGTACAGGTATAATTTTATGTTTGCAGCTAATCTCCTACTGTTTTTATGTTTGCAGAATTAGATTGTTTCAGAGCATTTTTTTCTTCATCCAAATGATTTCAACGGGTATGGAGAGTTCCAGGTCTAGGTTTGTTGAAAAATATGTAAAGGAATGTTGCCAATCTAGTAATGAATTGAATACTTTCTCAAGTTTGCTGGAGTTGTCTTTTTGTTCTTTTCTCTATTACTATATTGATATTGATGGGTGGTCTTTGTTTCAATTCTTCTATTTTGGATGTTTACATGCATGAGGGGTTGGGCTAGAAAATAGTCAATAAATCACTCTAGCATCCTTGATTTGTGAAAGCTTGCAAATGCAAAGGGCTGTATTTTGTTTCCTTCTGTACTATTTAGTTTAATATTATAGAAGCAGGAAACCTTCTTGGTTTTCTCTTTACTGGTTGTCCAGGTTTCCTAATTTTGAAATAAAGATCATGTAGGAGTGGGAAATGACAGTAAAAGAACCATGGTTCACAATTTTGATATCAATGGACATTTAACCTTGTAGAAATGGAGAAGTTTCAGGGATATTTCACTAATTTTGCTAAGATATTTGGAAAATCTAAAGAAATTGGAAGAAAATTACTAAAAACATGGAATTTGTTAATAAAATTTCATGGATTGTAAACCAATTCAGAGAAGAGATGTAGTTGATGAATGAAGATAATGTGTAATGTGTTCCTTGCAACCTGAAGTTGGAGTACTGTATTCTCCCTAATAGTGATATCATCCATTTTAAGGTCCATGACCCAATAACCAAGTAGAAGGAAACCTCTATTTTCTTTTCTTTTTTTTTTTGAGAAAAAGGTAAGGATTAAAGACTAAACTTGAAACTATATGCAACATGTACAGCCAGAAACTATACATCAAGTCTCAATGGAAATCTTCAACAAAAACTTCCAAGGACTAAAGACTAAACTTGAAAGCCAGGAATTTCTGACAACTTATCTGGCTAAACAAAAGGATTACTGTGATAAGAAAATTGATTATGGGGGATTCTTCTGAAAAAAATCTTGAGCTGATAACCTGGAATGTGTAGATGCCATATTGCCATTGCCTGCTGAATCAATCTATCTTTATCCCCACTCTTTCTTTCAAAGATCCTCCTATTTCTTTCCTTCCACACCACCCAACAAAATGAATGGGGTATTGTACTCCACAATAATTGGGTAAAAGACTCGAACCTCCCTTGAGGTTTGTCATAAATACTTGCTCCTCCCCTCTAATTTCTAATAGGACTTAAACCTCCCCTATCTAACTGAGATGTTGTTATATTTGACAGAATTGAAAAAGAAGACAGTTTTATCCTTTGTTGTCCTTCAAATTTTCAAAGAGTTTGATCAGCTTTATCATTTTGAAATAAGAATGATCGTTGTAGCTTGTTTCAACCTTTGTACAATCACTTTGAGGGCTGCTCACAAGAGTTGATTGACAAAGTTGATCTCTGTTAAGTCCTTAAGTTTGCTGGGCTGGGAGCAGGTTATTAAGATACTCCCAGTCACAGCTTAAAAAATAATACTAAAGAAGAAAAAAGGGCTTTCTTATAAGCTCAGTCAATCCTATTGGTGGTCTGAAACATTTTAATAAAGAAAGGGGCCTGCAGTCTAGTTTAGTGAACAACAGGCCCCAAATTAATTGGGCTTGTTTGTAATGCAATAAGCATTTAATGGGCCTGCAGTAGAGCCCATTTAATGGTAATGGAACAGCAGGCCCTAAAAGAATAAATGCATTTTGATTAATTAATTGTGAGGTGTCCCACTTATTTATGAGGGGATGCCACATGTCCTATTCTAACAAGAGGGCTATTTTCCCTCCTTTAGCCACTTGAAGTGGGGGGATACATGTCACCCTAGGGGAGAGAAAGTTATCTTCCCTCTAACAACTTGAAGTGGGGGGACACATGTCACCCTAGGGGAGAGAGTTATTTTCCCTCCTCTAACCACTTGAAGTGGGTGGGCACATGTCACACCCTAGGGGAGAGAGTTATTTTCCCTCCTCTCACCACTTGAAGTGGGGGGACACATGTCACCCTAGGGGAGAGAGAGAGTTATTTTCCCTCCTCTAACCACTTTAAGTGGGGGGGACACATGTTACCCTAGGAAGAAGGATTTATTTTCCCTCCTTTAACCACTTGAAGTGAGGGGACACCTGTCACCCTAGGGGAGAGAGAGTTATTTTCCCTCCTCTAATCACTTTAAGTGGGGTGAAACTTGGCACTCTAAGAAGAGAGGGGTGGGGAGTTACTTAACCACCTCCCTCCTCTATATAAACCCCTCTCCTACAAGGAGAAGGGGCTAATGCCTTTTTGTTGGCTATTACTAATTTATTTGCAGGATTTCTAGCATTAAGAAACAAGTGGGAAGAGAAAAGAGAAGAAGATTGGTGTGGAGAGCATAAAAGAAAAAGGAAGAAGGTAGGGAATCTGGTTTTCTTCCTACACCTCTTCAATATGATACTCCTTGTGCTTCCCACATGAGATGGAAGACCATATTCTATCTATTCCTCTCACTCCTTTCTTTTTTCCTTTTATTTTTCTTTTCTCCCTTATTTCATATTGAAATACATGTAAGGAGACAACCATCTACAGCCTTGTTCATGAAACTTGGCTGATTATGGTTCCTTACAACCTATTAACCTATGTGTGAGGGGAAAAACCATCTACAACCTTGTTCATGAAACTTGGCCGATTATGGTTCCTCACAGCATGATAATGCACACAACCACAATTTAAAGGCCATTTGTAACCTTATTGATGAAACATGCTTTTTATGATACCTATTTACTTGTTATGCATACAATGTTTGTTTTTTTATATGCTGGTTTTCTCTCAAACAAAGAGGGAATATATACCAGAATTTTCAAAGGAAAATTCTGTAGAAAAATGATACTTGGTTTAGTCTCTATTCATTGGTACTTCTGAATCAGAATCAAAAGGTTTTCTCTGCCCCTAGCAGAGATGTAATTAAGGGAATATCTACGTTATTCCCGAATGGGGCTTACCCAAATAACAAAAAACCCAGTTATTACTCTAATCGGGTGAATTATGTTATGTGAGAAATTATACTAAAAAAATTTCCACTTACAATCTCATGAACATTTTGGAGTAATTTGATGTGAAATCAGCTATGCCTAATGAAACTGTGAAATCACAGCCTTCGATAGATGGGGGGCTGTTAGAGAATGAAAATTTTAGATTTTCCCTATGAAACTATGCAAAAAATTGAACCTAGGCTACATGGGCTAGAACAACAATGGCAAAGAAACAACTATAAAAATATCTTTGAAACTAAACCTTTCTTTTCTTAAGGTTTTAGTTAGTTCTAAAGCTATCATTCATTTCATTGAAGGGTTTAATTTCTAAAATCCTGAAATCTTAACTTCAAATTCATTGGTCAGTCGTTGTAACAGCAGCAAGCTCATCATTGTACAACAGTCATGAAAACTTATTGTACATATAAAAGGATTCTCATTGTACATGCAAAATTACCCATACACTCCATGAAACTCAAATCTGGATAAAATAAAAATAGAACTACTGACAAATGGACATACATATAGATCCCATCAAAACATGGATTGAATCACCACTCCTCTTAATTGGTGCTTGTTGTTCTTTTTCCGTTTATCGTTCGGTGCATTCTAGTTTTGATCAACAAGAGTTGTTATTACCATAGCAGGATGTAACATTGTTCATCTACCTTCTTCAACCTCCTAATTAAGAACGAGAGCAACCCCGTTCTTCACCTCTCTCTCTCTCTCTCCCCTTCCTTCGTCCGTCTACTTTCTCCCCTGTTTAAGCCAAGAAGCATTATTACAAACCCAAACAATCAGTTTTCTATAGAGGGGCAATATTGGGTTTTTGAAAAATCCATCGATCTAGCCAACCTTTCTGTCCTATCTTCCGCCAGCTTTAGTCCAACTGAGGAGCAACCTTCTTCTTGTCCCGGAGGAGCTACCACTTGCAATGGTGTGACATCCTCCCACTGCAAGTCCCCACCTGCTACCAATGCCAAACTATCCTCTTGAGTTATGATAGGGCTCTCCTTGAACTTCGGCGAACCTGAGATCCCCATCTCTATGGACTGATCATTCCCTAACAACACTTCCTCCTCTACCACTGTGTTCTTCACTTTTCCTTCTGGCACAACTCTTGACTTCCCAAGTGACTGAACCTATGACCTTCGGCCTTCAAAGATTTTAATGTCTCTTGGGGACCTGAGATCCCCAACTCTCGACTTCCCAACTCTTGGGGACCTGAGAACCCATTCCTTCGAATTGGGTTCAAGGAATTGGTTGGGCCCAAGTAGAATTAGAAATTCTAGGCTGGGCTTTTCTCGACTCTTCTAGGATTCTATTTTTATTTTTATTTTTATTAGAATTCCAAGAGAAGACCCTACTTCTACCATGTACCCCAAAACCCAGGTCCCAGGCCGATTCTTGGTTTGTTGCTATTTTGACTCTTTAGATCACCTTTTCTAAACTGAATTCCTTCTCCCGGCCCAGTTCTTTTGATCCAAACCACTTGAGACAGACATCTCTTTCAAATAGTCATCTATCAGGGCTTTGAATTCCCTCATAGTCCTAGGAAAGACCAGCTCATGGTCAACTTCCTCATTCAAAAGCTTGGTTTTCTCTCCTTGGGGTTGTTCCATTACCGGCCTTCCCCATTTAAAATTTGAAAATTTCCCTCCTTAAGTAGTAGGACTTGCCTGGTCAGTCTCCTGACAACCCTTGTCATTCGATCCCCCTATCCAACTAGGCTATTGGACAGCCCTTCTTGGTTGTCCCTGAGTCTGAGATCTTGGTGAGAAGCTATTGCCAGCGGGCAATGAATCTCAGTGACCTTGCAACTTCTGTCTCCTCCTTCAGTTAACTTTCCCCTTCCTTGTAGGAATCGAAGAGCTCATCCCTCGAGGTTCTCCTCACCATTTTATGCCTTTCTGTCGCTGGCCAAACTACTGGTTCAAGTTTCAGCCAAATATGCACTAGATAAACCATATCATCCACTTTAATGTCAACCAAACCTGGTACCTCCCCTCTCCATATCACCTGCAACCACACCCACTCTCACATTGCTAGTTCCTTTACCAAATCATCAGTGCCTAGGAACTCCCCATGGTAATCACCTATCGCTGTAATAATTTTAGGGCTCCAAAGCATCAATGGGAGTCCATAGACTCGAATCCGAATCTTCTGATCTACACTCGAAGCAGAAGGTTCATCGTTGTGCAACCAGCAAACATGCTCCACCGGTCAATGAGCAGACGTTTGTCCCCCAATCTCCACTAAGCTCTACTTAGAATATACTCAGCCTCCACCTCTGTGGAAATGATGAAGGGGAATAAACCATTGATCAATTTTTTCACCTTCACCTCCTCCAAATGGTTCCATGCCTCCTGAACCCAGACTTCGACATCCACTACCTTTGGCACTTACCCCTCAAATTTCCCAACTAGACAGTTCTTCTGGAATCTCCTCCAAAGTTGCACCCCTTTTTCCTCTGTTTCAATAAACAATAGCTCACCATTCCGGTAGAACTGACAATCACCATCCATCGGCCAGACTTTGATTTCTGCTATATCTTACGAAACCCCTGTTTGGTGTGTTGCTTCTCTGCCACCCAACCTGGGATTTTTGGTGTCATTTTCATGGTGAAACTTTTAATTTTTAAGAAGAAAAATGACTAACATGG